ATTTGAGACCAATAAGGAAAGAGAAAAGTAGTGGTTCCCACCGACTTCCCAGACCAAGGAAACTGGAAATGACTAGTAATTCCTTTCTGTTCCTCTGAGAATATGGCCCCAACAGGCCTGTGAGCGCCTCCATCCCCTCCTGCCCCATCAAGACGGCTCTGCCCAGAAGAGAGAATGAGGACTCCCGGGGGCTCTTGTTCCAGCACTCTCTCTATTTTCAGGACTTGCTTTCACCTCTGGAAAAAAACTTCAGGAAAAGTGACCCCTCCTTCCCACCCATACTCACTGACCAAAATTTCCATCAAAGCCTAGCTTCTATCCCTCATGCCAGGAATCATACCCAAGTGGAAGCACAGACATCCCTGGCTACCATACAGCAAGGAAGGGGCCAACCCAGGAAAGGGGTGAAAGGTGATGTCAGCCGTCTGAAGTTTCCCAGGGATGGTGAGAAGGTAGGGGGGAAGGTCTGAGGAAGGCAACCTTCAGCAACAGCCACTGAGAGGGAGGGGTGTGCAGTGGGAGTAGAGCAGCCAGGGGCTGGAGCCCAGGGCTCTTGGCTCGGTGCCCAGTCTCTGATCTGCTGCATTGTTCAGCTATTTCCTTCCTTGGAAGTAGTAAGCGGGTGGAGGGGACCAGGATTGCATGGCTGGGAGTAAATGGAGCAGGGTGGAGCTTCCATTGGGGGAGGGGGCCTCCAGTCTGTTCCCATGACCAGCTGCCCTTCCGGCAGCCAGGGGACTGCGTGGGAAAAGTTCTTGGAAGTGCTGGGGACAGTGTGTGTGTGTGTGTGTGCACACGTGTGTGCGCAAGCGCACTTTTTCATTTGTGTCTGACTGCCTTGCTTGGATTTAGTCACAAGACAAAGCCCTTTGAGAAACAGTCACCAGTCTATGTTCCCACTGGGCTGTGCCCTGGGAGAGGCACAAGAACCCGCCCCAACGCCTGAGAGAGGGACACTGGAGGCCTAAGACCAACTCCCTGAAGTCTTGACTTCTAGTGAATCTACATTGGCTGACTTCCCCGGATTTATGAGGATGCTTCTGGAATCTTCTGCAAAGCTTCCAGCTTCCTGGCAGAACTCCATTACTAGAGGGATGTTGGAAAGCAGGTGGGAACCAGACATGGGGAGTGGAGTCAATAATTCTCACAGCATCTCCCTAAAAAGCCTAGAATCCTTCATAACCACAGATCTTAGAGCCAGGCAGCATGCCAAGAGATTATATGATGGTCCAGTACTCAGCCTTCAGACAAGAAGCCTTAATACAAAGGTCACAAACTAGCAGCACGCAGGTGAAATGCATCCTGTAAACACATGCCTTGCTTAGCCAGCACAGCACTTAAGAAATTTTTGAACCAATATTGAAAGATTTCACACAAAAATCCCAATTTCTATAGTCTCTTGAAGAAATCAGAAGATATGGCTAAGACTGATGCCCTATTTCCCCAAGACAACATTGACTGGGCTGAGTAATGACTGCTCCCTTAGAAAGAGTGTGGGCTGGCCATGTTCCCACAGTCCCTACGGTCCCCATTGTCCTCAACACTGAGGCTAAGTATCACTTGCTGTGGCTCATCATACTTGTGTGATTACTACATAGTTTTCTGGGCCTTTGTCTCTATCAAAAGGGGGAAATAAAAGAAACCAAGAGGGCCACCTGTTTCTAGAGAGAATATTTCTATGCAGCAAGTATATCCATGAGCAAACAAAGATGGGATTGGGTGTCCTTCTGCCACCTTTTCTGCATCATCCCCTCCACTTTCCAGTGACATGATGCTTAATGCCACCCTCTGACAATACTATGTCACATGCTTTGTGCCAAAATTGTCCCCCCACTCCTTCCCTCACCCCCAAATCATAATTCTCCTTTTCTCAGTGAGCAAATTCCAGCTGTAAGCCTACAAAAGTAATGTACTGGAGAAATCCCCAGCACCTGCTTGCTAATGACCCTGTGATAAAGCTGAAACTCCTTACCTTAGGTGTTCTCTCATGCAGCACCCTGCAAGATGTGAATGTGAATACACAGAAGCACACCTGAAGGAGCTAACACCAAACTGAAAACCAAGGTCACCTCTGGGGAGGTGAGGAGGAGACCAGAAATGGAGGTTATGGTCCCAAGCCTATCCCTAAAGCTTTAATATTTTACAAGGAGATTATAATCATGCATAAGATGCCTTAGCCTGCTGTTAGTCTCACCTCAGTTTATCTTTCCTGCTTATCTCCATGAACTGATCGACTCACAGTTTCCTATTCCCCAATTTTTGTGCCCATAGCTTTTCTCTTTTTCATACCCAGAATGCCTTTCTCCTCCTCCTCTACCAAGCCAAATCCAGCCCATCACTCAAGGCAGTAGTCTTTCAAAAATTTACCCCATGAGGGCGCCTGGGTGGCTCAGTCAGTTAGTCATCTGACTTTGGCTCAGGTCATGATCTCACAGCTCATGGGTTCAAGCCCCGTGTCAGGCTCTGTGCTGATAGCTCAGAGCCTGGAGCCTGCTTCAGATTCTGTGTCTCCCTCTCTCTCTGCACCCCCCTTCCCTGCTCACACTCTGTCTCTCTCCCTCTCTCAAAAATAAATAAACATTAAACATTTTTTTTAATTTAGCCCATGAACACCCTAAACAAAGTTTTAAATTAGGTACCCCTCAATAAAGCAGGTTTTTAAAAAACTATATATTCTCTTGAAGTTAAAAAAATTTTTTTCCAACTAGGTTTAAATACGTTTGACCCTTGAATACAGAGGGGTTAGGGGTACCAACTTCCATACAGTCAAAAACCCACATACCACTCTGACTCCCTCAAAACTTAACTACCAACAGCCTAGTATTGATCAGAAGCCTTACCAATAACATAGTCTATTAACACATATTTTGTATGTTTTATGTATTATATACTGTGTTCTTACAATAAAATAAGCTAGGGAAAATAAAATGTTATTAAAAAAAAACATAAGGAAGTACTGTACTGTAAAAATGTACATATAAATGCACCCTTACAATTTAAACCTACATTGTTCAAGGGTCAACTGCAGTTGCAAAGGGTATGATTTCTGGTGTAATGGAAATATTTACATTTTATGTTATTATTTTTTTTAAGTTTTTATTTATTTAAGTAATCTCCCCACCCCACGTGGGGCTTGAGTTCATGAGCCTGAGATCCAGAGTCATGCTCTTCAAACTGAGCCAACCGGGTGCCCCGTTATCCACATTTTATTTATTTTTTAACTTCTTTTTTAAAGTTTATTTATTTATTTTGATAGAGTATGTGTGCACAAGCGGGGGAGGGGTAGAGAGAGAGGGAGAGAGAACCCCAAGCAGGCTCTGTGATGTCAGCGCAGAACCCAACACAGGGTTCGATCTCACCAACCGTGAGATCAGGACCTGAGCGGAAATCAAGAGTCTGACACTTAACCAACGGAGACACCCCAGCACACCCGCCCCCCAATATTGACATTAAAAAAAACTTATATTAAATGTATTCACTGGAATCACAGTGATTTGATACTCATCATCAACATTTGCAAATTGCATAAGCAAGCTCTTAAAGGAAAATTTACGTCATTGCTTTTGTCCTTGAATTTTCTTTCCACTTCTCCCATATAATGCTATCCTAATGTAATACATAGTTTATGCTGGAAAATCTTTTATTTTTTTTAATATTTACTTTTATTTTTGAGAGAGAGAGAGAGAGAGACAGAGTGTGAGCAGGGGAGGTGCAGCAAGAGGGGGAGACACAGAATCTGAAGCAGGCTGCAGGCTCTGAACTGTCAGCACAGAGCCCGATGTGGGACTCGAACCCACAGACTATGAGATCATGACCTGAGCCGAAGTCAGATGCTTAACCGACTGAGACACCCAGGCGGCCCTTGAAAATCTTTTATTGATCATCAAACAATACTTCTCTGCCATAAATATATATGTTTATATAAAAATTAAAATTGTATTCTTTTCTTATTTTTTGTGGCCATAAGGCTCCAGAGTTTACAATTTTCTTCTGGATTGACTTATCATTACAATTATTATTAGTTTACTGTTTGTCAAACAACATAAATATATTGCAAATGTTGATAGAGCATTATTAAACATGAGTAAAAAAAAGTTTTAAAGTAAGTTCTATGCCCAACATGGGGCTCAAACTCATGACCCCAAGATCAAGAGTCCCCTGCTCTACTGACTGAACCAGCCAGGTGCCCCAAATAGTAAAATTTATAAAAAATACAACTCGAAAGAAAGAAAGAAAGAAAGAAAGAAAAGAAAAGAAAAAGAAATACAACTCATATTGAAATAGTCATATACATGCTGGAATGAGACAGTGATCAGCATCAATTTTATCTCTACATCCTATTTTTATAGATGATAATGCTGAGAAATCTCGTTCACATAAACACGTACATGGGAATTGAAGAAGTTTGGGCAGGGTCGCTCAATTCCACCTAATCATTCAACAGGTGACAAATGAATTTGTTTTACTTCCTTCAATTGTGGAAGGCAAATATTGGGAAATTTTGATTTGCAGAACAATTTGTTGCCCAGACAACCCGAGTCATTTGCTTTCTCAATATTGAAATCACTATTTTAAATTGTTTCTTTGGGGGCACCTGGGTGGCTCAGATGGTTGAGCGGCCTACTCTTGATTTCAGCTCAGGTCATGAGCTCACAGTTCATGGGTTCGGTTCATGGGGTCTAGTCTGGCGTTGGGCTCTGCATTGACAGTGTGGAGACTGCTTGGGATTCTTTCTCTTCCTCTCTCTCTGCTCCTCTCCTGCTCCGACTCTCTATCACTTTCTCAAAATAAATAAATAAACTAAAAAAAAATTGTTTCTTTGGAGCCCCAGAGATTTTTACACACCAAGGCAACATACCAAAATGAGAGTTAGGATGGGCCAAAGATAAGTCTTTTGTACAATAGTATAGGTTAAATTGTGCTATAGTAACAAGTAATACCAAAAATCTCAATTGTTTAAACCAACAAAGATTCTTCTCCCCTCTGTCCCCCAAACTCACAATACGTATCCATCACAGGTCAGCTGGGGGTTCTGATCCATGCCATCGTCATTCAGGGATCTAGACCTCATCATCTGAAATGTCATTGGTCACCATGGCAGAGAGAAGGTAAGGAGAATCATACGCTGGCTCTTAAATGCTTCCACCCAGAAGACACATTTTTGCTCATGTATCATTGTCCAAAGCAAGTCACATGGCCACACCTGACTTCTAAAAGGTGGGAAAGTACCTATAAGAGAACAGGGAACATGGATGAGCAGCACTGATGGTTAACACACTTGTCTTTTGTAAAATGGGAGCCAAGAAATTGTGGAAATGAAGGGAGGAGACGCGTTCACAGGCACAGCCTAGTCCTTGAAGATGATGTTCTGGAAGTTGATTCCCGTCAACATAACCCTGCCACCTACCCTTCGCTAAGAAAGCCTTTTTGCACCTCTAGGGGTACATGTGCCCAAGTGTGAAGACCACTGCTGCCTTTGTGAAGCCTTCCCTTCAGATCCAGGGACCTCTTTGAGTTCCTGTCATTATTGCCTCTACTATCCATTTGGAAGCTATTAGAGGAGTTAATTACATTTTCATATATGTGTTTCATGTTTTCCTAACAAGTTGTAGTTTCTTTGAGGATGGAAACCATATGTAAGTTTTTATATACCCCATATTATCTAGCAAGAACAGTTAGAACTTGTGAGTTCTGCTTGATGGCTGAATTGGTCACTTTTCTTGGTATGCTTCAATCTCATCTGTGCAGTGGGAATAACAAGGCTTCTTGCCCTTAGGATCACAATCAAGATGACAGAAGTAAAAGCTCTTTCCATCCCACTCTCTTTGACCTAACAGGGATCAGCGTCTTGAGACTCCATTTCTGAAAAGCTGTATGTAATGATGAGTCATTAAAGGCTCTTGAAACATCTGTGGAAAGTGGGTTTAGGAAGATGAGCCTGACATTAGTGAATGCTGGGTGGTTGGGGAATCCGACAGGTGGGTGGCGGGTCAGGGACAGGGAGTCCAGGTAGAAAGTTGCACTTCAGAGGTGATGCAGGGAATGGCGAGCCATATTGCATCCTCAGGGAGTGACCCCAGCTGACTTCCTGAAATTCCAAACCTGGATTCAGGGCTGAATCAGGTGGCAATAACAAACCTCATGCTTCTGCCAGTCAAAACCAAGCGTTCTCTGCACCCTGACACTGCCCCCTGGTGACCTCTGGAGTCATTGCCAATACAAGGAAGCCGAATTATCATTAGGGGGATCTGGGATTGATGTGGGTGAGGACAAGATGGCTAAAATTGCAGCTGTAGAAAAGGAAAGGAACTAAGGAGAGAGAGGAGGGGGCCATACACATGGGTTGGGTGTAGGCCGGGGGGAGTTTTTATCCCTGGACTTACTGCACAAAGTGAAAACTAGAAAGAGTCTTTGAGATGCAAACAACAGCACAAGGGCATGGTTTAGCCCATGCAACTGTTTTCAAATTTTTGGGTTAGTTGCCAACGTCCCAAATCAGGTAATTTCACATTAAAATAGGAATGTCCAGTTTCTCTTGAAAAATCAAAAACATCAAGCTATATGAGGCCACCATCCTGCTGAGCAGCAGCTAGTTGGGGCTGAGAGCTTTTCTGTCCCTTTCAGCAGGGCAAGAGCTTCCCTGTCACCCAGTCACCCAGGCTGCCTTCCTCAGTTCCGCTGCCCCCTTACCTTGCACGCTGGGAGTTTGTAACTCCTAGGTGGACATTTCATGCTGGAGAGCAGGGTCAAAAGGTATCAGGATGGGACCAACCAGTCATCCAATGCCTCCAGAATTTATCTATTACACATCATCCAGGGGAACCTGAGTAGCTCAGTTGGTTAAGCATCCAACTCTTGGTTTCAGCTCAGGTCAGTGATCTCACAGTTCATGGGTTTGAGCCCCGTATCAGGCTCCGTGCTGGCAGTGTGGAGCCTGCTAGGCATTCTCTCTCTCTCTCCTCTCTTTCTGACCCTCGGCTGCTCATGTGCACATGCTCTCTCTCTCTCTCTCAAAAATAAATCTTGGAACAAAAACAACAGCAACACAACAGAAAACAGCATCCAGCATATGCCTAAAGACCTTTGGGGACAAGAAAATCACTGCCTATTAAAGCAGCCCATTGCACTTTCGGATAACTCAGACCGCTTTCACAGGGTGGGAATGTCTGTTGAGGTTGTATTCTCTTGAGGATACAGGCCCAGAGAGAAGAGACTTGCCTACAATGTTGTCTCAAAAATTAAGCAGACACTTAGCAGGCATGTGTGAGGCACCACCAAGTGCCCGAGACTATGCTGGTGAGTGATGATGGCATGACCTGTGCCCTAAAGAAACTTCCAGTCTGGGCAGAGGTGGGCCAGGTTTACACAGATGGTATCAATACCTAGCAATGCTGATATAGTGACATCTGGGAATAGTGCATTGAAAGAGATCAGTCCAAATTTGAAATTCCAAGTCTCCCAAACATGAGAAATTAGACATGTAAGCTCTGAAAATATCAACTGTGGTTATAAAGCTCTGTGCCACTCCTGGCACATTACTACAGACATCTGGGAGTTGACTCCATGAGCCAGAAGGGCATACAGGCAACTGACTTGATCTTCTTTGAAACAGTAAGTCACGATACCTGAGTTTTATGTCAGTTCTGCATAACTGAGTGAATTTGGGCACATCTCTTTGCCGCTTAGGGCCAAGGCTTCTCCATCTGTGAACACAAAAGGCTGAATCAAATTTCTCAGGGCTTAATATTTACTTTCATATCCCCAGTACCAGCAGAGTAACGGGCTATCTAGAATACAAATTCAATAGGTGCTCCCTAAATGTTTTTTTGTCGAATTAGTTAATTATATGTTTGTTTATTTATTTTTAAGAGAGAGAGAAAGAGCAAGCTGGGGAGGACAGAGAGGGAGAGAGAGATCCCAAGCAGGCTCCACGCTTTCAGCGCATAGCTAGATGCAGGGCTCAAACTCACCAACCTTGAGATCATGACCTGAGCCAAAACCAAGAGTCAGACCCTTAGCCAACTGAGGCACCCAGGCACCCCTAACTTAATTTATTTTTTAAGTAAACTGTACTCCCAATGTGGGGCTTGAACTCATGACCCCAAGATCAAGAGTCCCAAGCTCTGCCAACTGAGCCAGCCAG